CATATTAACTAATCAAACAAACAAACAAATAAATAAAATATTATATATTTTTTATTATTGAAAGGCATCAGAATCTCTGGCTGTGGAATAAATAAATCAGCAAGTGAGCAAATAATGTTTTCCCATTAATTGTAGAGCAGAATATTAGTTACTGGTTTGGAGATAAAAGATTATGTAGAGAGCTATACTTTTTGGTAACTTACATTGTATTCATTGTACGAATGATGTTCAAAACCTAGAGAGCCTTCTCCATTGCCTGAAAACTTTAAGTCAGATGTTCTCATATAACCTGAAGCTCAACTAGCTATACAGAAATTGAAAATTAACATCCCTTCTCCCAGACAAAGAAGCATCTTTGTGCCTGCACAAACCTCTTTGAATTCTAATCATTTGATTATAAGCCAGTTATCCCAATAGTATATAAACAAAGATTGATGGTTCAATTATTCCCTGAAATGCTACAAGATCTTCAAAACTGCAAGTATCACAATTAAACAGTTACAAAAAATACAATGTTCCATTTATTTTCAATGAGATTAGGCAAGGAGGGTTGTATTCAGTGGATTTTGTTAAATGGAAGGCAACCACATTTTCATTCATAAAAAGCACCTGTGGCTACCTAATCTAGCATTCTGTCCCCACAATGTCCAGTTAAATGCCAGTGGCCATATGCAGAATACAAGTACAGCAATATTTCCCTGCAAACAATCCACAGCAACTGAGATTCAAAGATATGCAATCTCCTAGACAGAGAGCAATACAAAGCCATCCAGAAATTATTGATAGTTTTATGCTTCATGTATTTGTCAAATTCTTTTTCATAATCATCCAAATTGCCAGATGTCACTATATCCATGTTTTAACAAATTCTATAATGTATTAATTGAATTTTTAACTATCCAAGTTCATCAGATGGCCCCACGTTCTACTCCACTTTTTTTATACCATGCCCAACCTTAGATAGTTCTATCATGTCCCATTTACTCAATTTCTTCTAAACTCATTAGTCGCAAATGTGACTTTATCTCATATGGAGGATGTTCATACACTTTCATCATTTTGATATCCCTTTTCTACACCTCTTGCAATTAAATAATAATACTGTTTGGGTGGTGCTATGAGCCCAACTATAACTAGTAAGCCAAGGGTAGTTACATTATGGGTTAGAATGTATTTTATTACAACTATGACAGATTTATTTTCTGTCCTTTACCAATGATTGCCACAGCTGAATTTTACCTGAATGCACCAAATTGTATTTTTCACAAGTGCCTCAAAAGAGAGTGATGCTTTCATCAAATAGGGCCCCAAAATTCATTTTTTGTCAATAGTGATCACAGTCACCATCAAGGCTTCAGACCGTATCAGCATTGAGGTAAAGCAGATTTTTAAAATCTCAATTTGCATTACTGAACAATATTTGAGATCTTAATGCCTACTTGTATACACTGTTTTGGAAGTTTTCAAAATCTGCTTTATTTTAACCATCTTGATTGCTTCTCTAATTTCCCGGTTATGGTCCTCACCAGCTATGCGCCCAGAAAGCCTTTCTGGAAGTGTAGCTAGTAAGTACTCCTGAACAGCTGAGATCATGTCTTAATGGCTATGTGGTCAGGGTGTGGGATTGGATTCCAAATCAGAAATAGCAGTCTGAGAGAGCAGCAATGTGCACAAATTTCTTGCTAGATAATTCCAGCCTTGCCCTACAGCAGCATTTCTCAGTCTTGGTAACTTTAAAATATACTTCTGGTTGGGAGTTGAAGTCCACAAATCTTAAAATTCCCAAGGATGAAAAACACTATTCTAGTTCTCCTTAAGGCATGCCATTCTTTCAGGAATCCTGGACTTTTCAGACAGGCTTTTGGGATTCCAGGAGGAAGAAAATATAGGGAAGATGAGCATGGCCTTCCTATTTCTGTGGGTTACACCATAGATTACAAGCCATAGTAACCTCGGCTTTAGAGGCAGCTAATTTAAATCCTATTATCTAATATTTAAAGCATATTAAATGCATGAACAAAAATTTTCCCATTTCCCCTATATTAATTGTGCTTCCAAGTTAGACTTATGAAGACTTCAGAGCCACTCATTCTTTTGCTATCAGAGAGAGACTCTAAAAACTTCTAAGCATATCAATGAAGGAAACTGAATCATGTTTTATAGACAGGAAGCTATCAAAGAATGGAGAAAGGGATTTTATTGTATGCAAAATCTTTCACATAAAAATATCATTTTTGAAAAAGGCAGCCCTATATTTGTCTTTTGTTCCCTTCTCTGCTAAGCTATAATAAAAAATAAATGTCTAAACACAAGTAAATAAAATTCTATAAAACATTCACTCTGGTCTTTTAAAGAATAAATGCTAGTTTTGATTACTTAATTACATTGGAAAAGATATAATACAATGAAGCTTATCAACCACTGAGCCAGAAATGGCCATTTTCACATTTGCAGCTTCTCAAGACTCTTAATTTAAAACAATGCCATGAACTAAAGAGTAAATCATGTCTGTGTGAGTGTGCATGGGTGTGTGTGGGGAGGAGGGTAGAGAGGGAGAGAGAGAGAGAGAGAGAGAGAATAGAAGAGAGAGAATAGGAGAGACAGAGACTAGAAAGAGCTTTGTTGCCAAAACAGAGATTTAATTTTGTCCAGATGGATGGGAAGAATTGTAGATTCTGTATTTAATGTATGACAGTTAAACAATTTTTACCACAGCTTTAATCATCAAGCAAAATTTGTTTTAGAATCAAAATATAATTCACAAAGAATAAAAAGATATGAAGAGAACCTGAAGTAAAACAAATACAAAAAGCAAGATACTGATGCCAGCAATAGAAATTTGCAATTTTAAAGGAAAATAACTTCTTTCAGAGCATATTGCTAATTTATTTGGAGTAGTTACACCATTAGATAATACTATGAAATGGCCCTAAGTTTAAGAAGGATAAGGAGCAGTTATAAAATTAGCATTTTTGAAATATTCTAAAATATTAAACTAGGTTGCAAACAAAAATCCAAGAAAGGAATAAATGCAGAGTCTGACTATAAATAATCCAACACAAAGCAAAAAGCCTTGCCTGTTTATTTGTTTAATGAGACATTTTGTTACTGCCTAAGATAAATAAGTTACATATAATTTAGCAAAAAGAAAAAGGGAGGGAGGGAGCCCAACACTTAAAAGTCTAACAGAGTGAATATAAATATTGGTTTACTATATAATCTGAGCTATTTTATGCTATTAAGGAATGAGAAAGAAAAGCCAAAGTAAGAAAAGAAATGTGACTGAGAAATATGTAAGTAATACGCTGAGAAATAATGAAAAAAGATAAAGGGAGGGAAAGTAAGAATAGTCCTCCGTGAAAAGATGGTGAAGCAAGAAACAGCTGGCTCCAAAATGGCCAATTTAGGGGAGCTCCAGTCTGTCTGATTGAAAAGGGTTGTGACAGAATGGCCTGCTGGGAAAAGGTGCCCCAAAAGGGGACACCCCTGCAGAGTTCAAAGGGACAAAAGAACACAGCAAGAGAAGCCCTTGTGCACGGAAAAAAATATCCAAAACATCAAGAGAGAAAATGCGAAATTCTATATAGTGAGTTTTCATCTTTTCTATGTATTCTATAAAGTAAAAAGATGGGGGGGGGGGAAAGGACATTTTAGAGACCTACTCACCTAAACCAGATTTTTTTAATCTCTTTAAATGCTGGCTCATTTGTTTTCCAGTTGGAGACTTTGGCCCATGTTTCATTTCTTTATCAGAATTGTCTGCTTCACCATTTTTAGATTCAGACCCTTTAAAAAAGCAAACGTTATACTGAAGTGCTTCCCCGTTTGGGAAAAACCAAAACCAAAAACAAAGCTAGATTATTTTTTTTTACAAAAAGAAAAAAAAAGAACAAAACCCGTATAGTGATATCTTTATCTGTTACCCTATTTAAAGGTTATGTTTTTTGCTGACAAGTTGATTCCCTGTCACTGGAAGCAACGAAGCAAAAGCTCATAAATCCATTAAGTGATGAAAACAAGTTTCTTCAATGTAACAGTCAATAAAGATGTTTGCTAATCCAATATAAATAAGCTTCTTCTCCGATAGCAGAGACATCTTTAAAAATAATAACGCTACCTTTATAAGGGAACAAAGAAATAAAAGGAAGAATGGGAAACCCTCCCTTTGGTAAGTTAATTTTCTCCCACGTCTGGGGGGGGGGAAACCCAACCTACAATAAAAAGTGACACAGATCTCTGCACGATTCATTCACAGTGAAGCATGTAACAGCCAAAAGTAAAGGTCAGGGTTGCACTGTGGTGATTAAGATGGTGCCAGAACACAAAATCTTATTAAAAGGACAACTGTTATTGCAAGACAGGAGTATGAGAGTAATTCGCACTCCCAGAGGAGTTGTGATGGTTATTTATTTGGCTCCCTGATGGCACGGAATGCCAAAACATAGCTCTCCTATTAAGAATCAGCATCCAAAAAGACTACTTTGCATTCCTTTAAAGCAGCTGTTGTAATTTTAATTTTTTTTTTAGACACAGTCCTTCTCTCTTGATCCTCCCCTCCCCTCCCTCCTAGCACTGAAATTAAAATCTTCCTTCTTGGAATTAATAAAATTGGTTTAAAAAATGAAACAGAATCCATCTTGTGGGAACACCATCATAATTTTTCAACATCCTAATTTTGTGCACGATAGCTCTCACCTCATCGGGAGGGCTCTTTGACTAGAAACTGTTGTTGCAGTCAGTCTGTAGTTATTTACCTGAAGGTGAATCCGACTGCTCATCAGACACCTTTAATGGTGTCAAAACAACACGAGGAACAGTCTTGTTTACCATCATTGAGACTCCATTTCTTCTTTTCTGCTGCTGTCTCAAAGCCTACAAAGGACAAAACAAAACAGAAAAATATAACACAAAATGCTGCTCACAAGTGAATTACACAAAACATTCCCCTTTCATTCAGCTAAGCTCCTTAAGATAATAATATCCAAGTAGCTGCAAATTTGCCATTCTTCCATTTCATCTCTCTCTCTCTCTGTCTCATTCAATCTCCCTATATTTTAATTTAAGCATAAAGAAGATGCACCTTTAAAATCCAGAACAATGTTGACAACAAAGAAGCATTCATAACTGTTTGCTCTACCTTAGCAGCAGAAACATGAGAACCCATGGAATTTAAAACTGAGATTTTCAAGTAAAACAAATCTAAAAATAAATATTTCAAAACCAGACTAAAACTCCATGTCTGTACATCTCTTGCAGGTGCATCTTCTCCCGTACACTGCTCAGTCAATCAAGTTAACACAGTGTCATCAGTATGTACAGCATGTAAGGGCTACAGTATTGATGCACTCACTCAGCCGTGAGTAGCGCTGCACAAAATCACTGCACATGGCAGGAATCATTTATTTCTGCGAAAGGGATCGGTCCTAATCTTGGAAAACCTTGCAGCACTTGGCTTCTGTCTGCTTGACTTTGGGCATTAACCTTCAAAACACGAACATGGTAAATGTGGGAGAAAATCATAAAAGAATAAATATCTACAAATGGGAGGGGGTTTGTGTGTGTATTTGTTTGTGTGCATGTTTCTTTTTTTGTAACTGTATCAGCAACAGGGAGGATAATGCAATACAAAATACAAATAGGACCTGAATAGCTGCCAGGATATTTTATACAATAAAATAACTCAAATTGGAAGATTAGGGAACATGAATGGGAGAATCTGCCAGTTAAACAATTTACAAGCACAAATATTTAAACTGAATAAGTTATAACAAATCGGCTCACTTCTGATTATCTGGTACCTGCTTGTAATCCTCATTTTACACTCTTATCTTTGATTTGTGTGTGCATTAAAAAGACCACTAAATTTTACCAAAGGAGATCATGCTTAGCATGAATTAATATCCTTTGTCTCCTTACGAGCATAAACGACTAATGACTTGTGAGCTTAATTCTGTAATTGCAATACAGCTGTAGTCTATTTAGATGACAATGCTTTGCACACAACACTTCAAAGGCAAAATAATTAAAAACAATTGCTTCCTATTTCTCTGGATAATAATATTTTAGAGCACAAATTCTGTCCCAGAAAGAACAATAAAAAAGCAACAACTGGGTATTTAACAGATATTTCAATGTAGAATGTATCAGAGGGACATAAATAATAAAGGAGAATTTTAAAAAATGGCTGTCAACCAACAAAATAATTTAAACTGATTTATTGCCTTAAATCAACCAGATTTACATACTTATGCATGTTTGTCAAAATATAATCACATAGTTTTAATATACTGAAAGCAAACAGCTCCTCTTTAATTGCATGACAATATTTAAAATTCAGTGGACAAACAAACCTACCTATTAATGGAAGAAAATATAGCTTTAATATTTGCTTCCACCAGTTTGGAAACTTAAAATATAGGATATTTCAGTTACAGTAATAGTGAAATAGTTTTAATATGAATGTTCAATTCCCATCAATATTATGATAAATCTGGTTGCAAGATATATTAATACTGATTTTAGCTCAGCTCTGTGAAGTTTACTAGCCTATAAATGTTACTGAAATAGAAAATGCATGTATCCAAACTGAAATGCCTTGTTTTACATTTCTTTATAATTAAATTTGGTGGCATCTCTATATAGCCAGTCTAGCAATATGTTCCACTGATTAACTGTAGAGCAAATTTCATCTGCAATTAAATGTTTAGTTGATTAAGCAACTAATTCAGTTAGGGGTTATGCTCTCAATAAATATCAATATTCATGGCCCTGAAAGCACATAACACAGTATATAAAAATCTAAACAAAGATGTACAAACAATGAAAATCACTGCCTCTGATTTGCAAGTAATAGCTATAACTATTTCTGTCAACATTTGTTTTTGCCCTCCAAGTTTAAAACATTGCAATTGTATTGTTGTATATAAATTAAATTTCTACAAGTACTATTTATTCAACAACAGAAGTGGCAGAAACTATTTCTATGGGTATTTAGACAAATATGCCTTACAAAACCTCATGAAGTACCATGGCACAGATCAGGTGCGTTGGTTCCTTCCATTTCTGGTGTAAGACGGCCATATACAAACCCCAGATTATCCTATTTCCCCACATCCCAAAAGGTCTTACAGCCAAACTTCACCTGCTATGTCTGCTCCTGACTGCTCAATAATGTTACCATACTGTGCCTAGTTCCTTCTTTTTTCTCTACAGACCTCATATGAAAAGATAGCATATTGTTTGGATTATGGAATTTAAGCAAGTGATCATCAACCACAGGAAAATGAAAGACAAGTTAATAACGCGATTCCACATAGTGACTACTCAGAGACACTATGACAGCCAAGACACACATACAAGGTAACTTCTAAAACAGTTCTAATAACAGCAGATTAAAGACTCAGCAGATTTCAGAAGAATGATGGAGGGAGGCAAAATGCAGAAGTTGGTGGAGGAGAAAGAAAATAGGTGGTGAAGTTAATAAAATGGAATGGCAGACAATATAAATGAAGAAAAAGAAAAAGGCCAAGATAGTCTGGAATCACTTCGACAAAACAAGAGATATTAAGAAGTTGTTGTAGATGAATACCAAGATAAATTTGAAGAAGGAACAGAAGAGTTAAATAACCATCACCTTCACCTTGGGAAAGAAGAGGAAGTGAGAAAGAAACTCAAGGTAATCTATTTTGATCCTGTCTAGTATGAAACAGGGGTAGAAAGAAAACCTGCCAAACTTTCAGGATTCTGTTATTACCCTCTGCAACAATAAAATAGAGCTCTTTATGATGTCTTTTCCCTGATCTGGGCTAACTTGAAAGGTTTGGCATCAGTAGAAAAGCTAAATATGCACAGGTCATAGTATGGGAATTGTATGCCATTGTAATATATCACATATTTTGGGGTGGAGCAAGGGGTGGGAATCTTAGTAGCCATGAAAAGTGCAAAACATACCTTTGTAAGGAACATACATTAACCAAATAGTAATTTACAAGCTTTGTATGACAGTTGTGGAAATCAAGATTGAATTTTCATAACTTTGACTCACCAACTTATTGAACTACTGATTTTAATAAATATGAAAGAAAATGGACACTAAACCTCTCTTTTTTCCTATCTTTGACTAGAAGCAAATCTAGATGATAATCAAAGTTCTGGTGAATCACTATATGTGACTGATTGAGTCTTAGCAAACTGTGTTCATAGATAGTGAAGAAAAGGTTGACACAGGCAATCTGGTGACTTCCAGAGGTTTTGGACCACAAGTCTGATAAATCTCAATCAATATGGCCAACAGATAATAGGGGTAATGTGGGCTATTATCTAAAACATTTTAAGTAAGATGCAAAAATACACATAGATCTTAATCATGGGATAAAACAAATGGATATCAATAAAAAATTGAGGGTAAAAGCCCTTAATCCTCCTAGTTCAAGATAATAGATGCAATTATAGATGTGACATAGATTATAACCCAATAGTTAAGGTAAAGTAATTAGACACCTTTTACAGTTATTAACTGTAACTTAAACATTCTCAAAACGAAAGCAATCCAGACTTAACTTCCCTATTAAATTTCTTTAAGTCCTAATTAGTAACTTTAATTATGAAAGAAGTAATAGTTTCATAGACATAAAGTTGATTATGAAAAGAGTATTTTTTTAATCTAACTCATACAATTTAAAACAAAGATAGTAAGATAAAAACTAAGATGCTGACATTTTAGCATAAATACAGGTCAACCACTTCTTTTCATGACATTTACTATATCAAAAGTGACACATAATTAAATGAAATATAAACTAATTGGTGTATCTAGAAACAGTCTAGTCTTCCTAATGTATCATTAATTACATTATGTAGTCTGCAACAATATATTACATTTGTCATGCATGGGGAATCTATAAATAAAAAACGTACATTCTTAAAATCGCTGTCAGAAAAATGTTACAATATAAATCACACTTACAAAACAAAAAGTAATTTAAAAATCCCATATAATCTCTACCAGATAGTCAGGAAAGCCAATATTCTCATAAAAACCAAATGTAAACAATTCTAATTCTTTACTGTCAAAAGCATTCATTTCATATCTAGAATCTGATTAGCAACATTAATTTAGGTCTGAAAACCATTAACTATCAATTCTCTCTTAAAACTTTCTACAATGTTTGATGTAGCAAAGAATCAAAGTACTAAATATAAAAGCAGAATATGTCTTCAAGGCTGCAGCCAATTTATTTGACAGAGAGTAATAAAACATGCTGACCTACAAAATCACTAAAGCATCTGCATCCTTAAATATACTGCTTAACATTTCTCTTGTATACAAGCTCAGATTCCAATAAAATAAGATGGTAAGGAATCATTTGTTGATAATTTATACTGAAAGATCTAACCTGTGCTAGATAGAAAAACATCCAATGTCAATTGAAGAGAAGTATGTTCTTTCCAGTTGCTATTTTTATCCTAAACCCATTACATAGTATTCAACACACATTTCATCAATACAAATGATTATACCATAATTTTTCTATCTGTACTTGTCTTGCCTTGATTGATATTGTACATCTCTATTTGTTTTCGTTTTGTGATGCAGGAATCTTTCCAGCACTGTTTTTTTTTCCTTTACCACAAAGGCAATGTCAAATAACTTGCACAAAAAGGGGAGTGGGGGGAGCCCATTCTATAATCCCTAACTGCATTGCAATTGCCACTGCCAAACATTAAGTCAATACAGATATGGGAAGAAGCCATAAACCACTCTTATGGCCCTAGGCTTTGAGACATGGAAAAAAAGCAGCACAGTTATTACCACTCCCAAGCCATACAACCACATTTCCCAGAATCCTAGGAAGACCATTGGCTGTGGAGAT